GCTCCTTCTCCCCTCCCCCCCCAACAAACCAGGCTCTTTGCAGAGCCTGCCGGTGGCACGAGTAGCATCTCAACTTCCGGTGTGGTTGACAAGCGACGAACATCCGGGGACGTAGCTGTTCCGGAAGTGCGCCCGGTAAGTGTCAACAGGACCGGCGAAGGAGAGCGTCGGAAGGGCGAGCGGGCTGCGCCTTCCTTTTGTACGGGAACGCGCTTGCATTGGCGCTCGCCTCAAAGGTGCTCTCGCTTTCTTTTCCCTTCGAAAGGCCCCCGTTGTATTGGCGCTCGTTCTTCGTCGAGTGCGAAGACGGGGAAAGACTTCGAGGAAACTTTTTTCTTTTAGTTCCACCCCCACGGACCGTTCCCTCTGTGCAGGGGACGTGCCCCTTATTTCCCACGGCCAGCTTTTGGCTTTGTGGCGGAGAGAAGGGGGGGGAGGCGGGGAAAGACTGTATTCCCACTACTTGGCTGCTTTTTCTGATAGTGGCGAAGGAATTGTTTGTAACCGGCTCCACGTCCCGGGACAGCTGCAGGTGGTAAGTAGTTGGTGCTTCGTGATTTTTCACTGGACGGTCCCCCTTCCTCTCTTCCTTCGCATTTCCAGGGAAACAGAAGCAGAGAGCGAGGAAAAGCAGCTCTTCGAATACAGAAGCCTGCCAGAATCAAAGGGGTATTTGTGTGGTTTTGTGTGTGTGTGTGTGTGTGTGTGTGTATGAAGTGATTACAGATAATCCCTGACTTACAACCAAAATAGAGCCCAAAATTTATGTGGTTAAGTGAGACATTTGTTAAGTGTGAGTTTTGCTCCATTTTATGACCTTTCTCCCCACCGCTGTTAAGCGAATCACCGCAGTTGATAGATTAGTAACCTGATCGTTAAGTGAATTTGGTTTCCCCGTTCAATTTGCTTATCAGAAGTTTGCAAAAGATGATCGCATGACCTTAAGCCCACCGCAACGGTCATAAGTATGAACCAGTTGCCAAGCATCTGAATTTTGATCACATGATCATGGGGAGACTGCAAAGGTTGTAACTGAAAAACAGTCCTATGTCACTTTTTTTCAGTGCCGTTGTTACTTTGAATGGTCACTAAATGAACTGTTGTAAGTTGAGGACCACCTGTACTGCTGCTATTTTCTGTTTGTTGAACCACTGCATGCAAGTTTGGCTCTGGAATTAATGTCCAAAAAGTGTGTTTTAAATGACTTGTAACCATCTGACTCAAACTGGATATGGCAGTGGAATAGCTTGAGACTCAAAGCCAACCTCTGTGGTAAATGCAAAACTCTCACCTGGAGAAAATGTGAAATATCAAAAATGATTAAAGGCTCTCAGGTGACCCATATCTGGGATGGACTGATGGCATTTGAAGTAGCAATAGTCCCTTTGTTGCTGTGCTTTGAATATATTAGAGGTGTAAAAGGTGGTATCCAGGTACTTAGTTTAGACCACAATGCCCATGTGCATAACATAGGTGCTTTGGGCCTTTTTCTGTTGAAATGCATGTGCAAAAGACACTGTTTTCAAATGCGCTTGTATCAAGTTTTAAAATTCTGTTAATAGCCCCATTTAGACCACAGACTTATAATGGCATTAGATTAACTTCCCTGTTCCACCTGTGAACATATACCTTCTTTGTCAAGTAAAATTTAAATGCTGCCCTATTGATAGCTATTCAGAAGTCCAATTGAATGTAGCTCCTAAACAAATATGATTGACACCCTCAAGTTCCCCACCCCCCAAGAGTTATGTATTTACTTTTTCAGTTTAATCTCTTTATATGGAGAAACACATCTTTTTTCCTGTCAATATAGCTGACATAATTGCAAGGTTGCCTTCTGAAAGATTTTGTTATTTTCATGTATACTTGGAGTATAATGAGTTGAAAAGCCAGATTAGGAAATATGTGGTATAATGTGTACGTTTGCCGTATTGTCTTTTTTCCCCCCTGCATGAAATGACCACCTAATGTCATATGCTTATTCATGCATCATTTCTTTATGTTCACTATTATTTAGCCTTATACTAACCTATAGATTTTTATGTTTAGTAATTAAATAATCAGAACCAAAGTGGTATGATGGTTAGAATTATTGGATTAAAACTCGGGAGGCTCAGGTTTGAAACTGGCAAATTACTACTACAGTGTTGTAGATGACCAGGCTGAGCCAGAGGGAGGGGTCATATACGTCATCAGTCCCTTCGTGCCTGCAACAGATCTAAGTCCAGCCCATCTTGAATTCCTTTATCTACCACCAAGTTGCTTTGACCATTAGTAGTTTCAATTCTTGTACAAAGTTTAAGCTTGCAATAAATTTTAATACCCATTTGAACTGCCTGGCTCTCCTGATTTCCCTGGGGGGCTTGACAGCTGTTAAGAAAATAAAATGGGCCAAATGCTCCTTGAAGAAAAGATGGGATAAAAATGTGATTAATACTAGATTAGCTTTATAATAATCTTTTTTCCACCTTTGGCTGAAAATCTTTGCATATTCAGAGGTAAGTAAACTACAAGAACACCCTGATTTCAGAAAAAACCTTTACAACATTCTTGTACATATTTGAAATAAGTACACCTAGAAGAATTGAAGACTAGATTCCAAGTTTTTTGTGGGTTGTAACTTAGAGGATTACAAAAAATATTAAGAATTATTTCATCTTTAATTCTTTTTTTAGGAGTTTCAAAAATGTCAGCACCATCTATGAAAGAAAGGAAAGCCTGCTGGGATGCCCGAGATTTTTATTGGAAATGCTTAGATGAAAATAGGAAAGATACATTAAAATGTGACAAATTGAGGTGCTCTTTTGAAAATTTATGCCCACCACAGTGGGTAAGTAACTATTTGTATTCATTTTTATATGCACATACCTAACATGATATTTCTATGCAAAAGGCAAGAAAGAAAGAAACAGGGAACAAAAGAAAATGGAAATCAAGATACAGAAAAAGGCATTCAAAGTAAATTGAAATTACACTACCACTATTCATTATCTCTATTCTTTTATGTCTTTGCAAATCATCCTTACTTCCACATCTGTATACCTCTATCTAAATTCTTTCCAGAATTCTGTCTGAAACCTAAGCATTTGCAGTCATTCTTGACTGGCCTTTGTATAAGAGAATAATAATGGCACTGTTCTGATTGTTAGGCAGGTTAAATATTGTGCTGTAACTCCATAAGGAAACTATATATTTTAACATTTCTCCAGCTGCAATACTTACTCCCCCAGCCTCAGCATTTTTTCAGCATTGTCATAGCATTAATCTTTTCACCCATTTTGCTCGAATTCTTACATACATTCATTTCAGTTTTGCTGTTAAACATACTATCGTTTATATACAAATCTCCAAAAGTATCCATTTTCACATTCCCTTACTTCAGTTTAATTTGAAATCACTTCATCACTTTTATTCTTTCCATTTACTCTTCTAGAAGTTCCTTTTTCTTAGCCCTTTTCATCCCCAAAAATCTCCACTTTCTCTTTGCATTGTTTATTCTTGACCATTCAAAACAAAGCCTTTTTGGTTACATAATTTGTAACTATCTTTTTCACATTATACATGTTATATGTCTTGTTCTGTCCTCATTTTGCAACATTTTTATATGTGTATTTATCACCCTCTAGGCACTTGCAGTTTTTCATTCTCCCAACCATCCTTTTCCATGTTTTCTATAACTCCATACTTCATGATAAATGTTTTCTATCAGTAATAAGCAGCTTATATTTCATCTTATGTTTACTTTTGTTCAGTCTGTTGGGAGATTAATCTACCTCATGAATATAAACATTGAATTGGATGAAGTGGGGCAGAGTGTATTCTTGTTATCTGATATAAATTGCAGTGCTATAGTTACAGTGCAAACAGTGAAAATCACATTATCAACACAATGCTGGATGTGCATCATTTGGATCTGAAGTGGGCTGTACCTATCAGCAGCTCCTTATAGAAGTTGCATACTTTTCCTGGGCTTGAGTGGTTGCCTAGAAAATATGACTAGTATCGCCTCCTGTTCCCACCTCTGTAGTGGACATAAACAAGGACTTTCCTAATGTCTCAGAAAGAGAATTTGCAGTATAGAGATTGTGTTTCACATATTCACAGTCCAGATACAGAGAATTCTCATCATATTTGTTGGCACATGCTTAAATGGAATTTTGGGAGCGTGCTTTATTTTGCTCTTGGCAGATGGCCCTTTATGCATTTGTCATGTGTATTTTTTCAATAAATATTAAACACTACAATTGTAGTGAAAAAAAGAATAAAAAAATAGGTGCAGGAAAGAAAAATAGAAAAGAATGAAATAATAATACAGTAAAGTTTCTTCTTCCTGTATGCCATCTCTTATCTATAAACAAATCCTTAAAAGTCTTAAAATTTCACATCAGATGTCCATTAAGGATTATCAGAAATAACATATCTTTTTAACTTCAGCAAATAAGCCATGTTTTTATTCCTTCCTTTTTCTTTTAACAAGCTTGATCTTTAGTCCCTTAAAGTAATCTTAGAGCCGTGATGGCGAACCTGTGGCACGTATGCCAGAGGTGGCACGCAGAGCCCTCTCTGTGGGCCCGTGAGCTGTCACCCCAGTTGGACTTTTGCCTCACATGCACCTCCTGCTGGCCAGCTGGTCTTCAGATCTCTGCTGCGCATGCACAGGGGACGGGGGGGGGGGGGGTGAGGCTCATGCATGGGGGATGCACACACACTGCATTTTGGGGATCCACGTGCACACGTGCGCTTTTGGCACTTGGCCATCACTGTCATAGAGCTTCATTGGCTCCTTCTCACAAAATTCTTAAAGGTGTTAAGCTTCTTTTTGTAAATCCAATATAAGAAAATTATCTAGGACCATTTCTTGGTTTGTAATTCATACAGCATTTTTTATTATTAAGACATTAGCCAATTTCTTTTGTGTGTCCAGTGTAGCATCTTTTTCGATACTTTTTCTATTTTTAATTCCACTTTCAGATTAGTCTCAGTCTTGACAGGTGAAACTTACTTATCTTCCACAATGTCTTTTAAAGATTGTCTATAGATACAGACACTCCTAAAAGTAACTTTTGGGTCCATTATTCAGAAATGCTCTTCAGGGTTCCAAGTAAAAGCCCCAATAAAATCAAAACTCCGAGGCAGACATCTTCCTCAAAGCACATACTTATTAGGCATGTCATATTAGCACATATGGGGAAACCCGAATCTAAAGTCCCCTGGGTTTCCCCCTAGTAAAAAGTCATACTTTTCCTCCTCCTGCCCCTTCAGACCATCACATGGCCCAATCAGGTCACAGTCCAAAGTTCAATCAGACTCACTCCCCACCTCTCCACACCTGGTGGAAACATCCTTGGCTTGTAGAGGAATGAATTTTATTTTGGTTACAAAGCCCTCGTTATCTCTACCTCCCCCATCCCGTTCCCACAGCTCGCCCAGCCAAAACTATGGCTGCCCTGAAGACGCCAATGAAAATGGCTCCAGAGCTGACAGTGGCCAATATTAAAATATTTTGCTTCATTCTGTATTTGTAAATTGAATTTAAGTGTTCTTCTCCTTTTAAGTGTAATCTTTGGTTCCTTCTATAGTTCCACCTAGTGTCCAGCCTTCAATTTCCCATCCTTTCATGCTTTTTAAAAAAGAATTAAAAGCATTTTCCCATGGGAAGGCTTCTTATAATTAATACAAAATCTTATTTCAAAACCATCTGCATATAATTTGGAATAAAGGAACCATCTGTTATTTGTAGCCAATGTATAAATCATTACTATGCTAACTACTTTCTACATACCATGTTTCCACCAAAATACAACCTACTCAGAAAGTAAGTCCTAGCTTGGTTTTTACACATGCATCCAATAGAAGCCCTATCCCCAAAATAAGCCCTAATTAAGACCCCACCCACTCCAGGGTACACAGGTAAAAATTAAGCCGGGGTGGTGGTGGTGGAGCTGCCCTACTACTTACCTTCAGACAGTTGCAGCCAGCAAGGCTTTCCTGAAGGTCTTTGTAGCCGGTAACAGCTCCGGATCGATCCAGAACTCTGTTATCGCCTACAGAGGCCTTCAGGAAAGTCTTGCTGGCCTTGCCAGCTGAAGAAGTTCCTGAAGGCCTGTGACAGAGAAAAGAAGACGGGGGCAACATGCTCAAGTGAGGTGAGTCAGTAGACATCCTGTCCTGAAAATAAGACCTGGTGCCTTTTTTGGTGGCAAAAAAATATAAGTCAGGGTCTTATTTTCGGGGAAACATGGTACTTATAAGAATTGTGCAAACCCTACTCTGCAACACCTAGGAGCCTAGAAGTACCTTTCTGTAAAACATTAAAGCAACAATGTCTTTTCCTAGGTTACAGAACTGTTCACTCCATGTTTCTTCTAGCTACTTCAGTATGTATGTAAATGCACAGTGATACGGGTTTTTCCCAGTCCTTTATATGTAACAAGGGGAAGAAGTATGTAGTTCTATATTGGTTTGTTTTTTTTAAATCTGATGTGTATAAAATTTATTGAACATTAGTTTTTGAAGATAGATCAATAATGGTGGCATTAAATTAAATCTAAAATGTCATGATGGGTATAATATTTTTTCTACTTTTATTACTTTAGATGTTTACTGAGCTTGTTGACTTGCTAACCAAGTGATTTTATTCAAAACAGGTTAAATACTTCAACAAAAGAAGAGATTATTTACAATATAAGGCACAAATGGAAGCAGGACAATTTCTGCCTTCAGAGAAGACAGAGGAGTCATAGCAACTAGAGAACTTTTACAATACAAGGGAAGTTGCAGAAAAACAGCATAATTGAAGAACATAAATGTTGGCACCAACGACGTCCTATACATTTTAAGATCTGTTCTTGTTTATAAATCTCATATTGGCCTGAAAGCTCCAGGTTCCATTATTTGAAATGCTTATTGGAGAGAATAGGCACTTAGGAAAATATGCTTACCTTTCACCACTAAAAGACTACACCATCAATAAAATCAAAATAAATGAACTGTATAAATTCAAATACTTGTATCATGTTTTCACTGCAAATACTCTCTTCCAAAAGTTTTCCCCAATGTACTGGTAAAGTAATGTCTAGTCTATTTCAGTGGTCTTTTGTATAAATTACATCTTGAAGAAGAATCTTTATAATTGTCAACAGTAACACCCTTAAATATTTCATTTTGGTTGATTCAGGTGTATGAGAGATCACTTTACTGTTGAATTAAAATTACAATTTGTAGACATATATAGTCTTTAGAAACTGAAACTGTTTTGACTTAATGCTGGATTTGGAAAACACCAAAAATATACTCGAGTATATGTTTAAAAAATATCCCCAAAACCAGTGCCAGAAAACTGCATGGTCATGACCAAGTGCAAAGAGAAAGACACTAGAATTGTCAAATGGCAAGTTGCTATATTGCTGTGTGCAGCATCTTGATGATGTCCATTTTCGATTCATTAGCGACCACATAAGATTTTCTCCATAATGAAAAAAGTTAATGGAATAAATTTATAGTTATATAGTCCAGCAACAACATAGTGCTCTATTAATTTTTTTGTGGAGTTGCAGAAATTACACATAGCAAAAGCAGCCATTGTGCTGCAAATGAGTAATTATTTACCACCACTTTGAGAACTATCAAGAACTGGTTTTTACAGCAACATACAGAATTCACTAGCACCAAAAACTGCATTAAAAACAATTTTAATACTGTCATTTTAAAAATTAACATTTTGTTTAAAATGAGGATATACAAGATCTAAGACATAATTAAATCATAGCTATGGTCATTTCAGGGAATTTATAGCACCGTCAAATTATCAGCTTCAACAAAAATTAAACATTTTGTCTTTGTTCTTTTTCCTTGGCCATTTGCTGTCTTGTATATTCCCAAATGAGCAGAGCACCACTTACATGGACATTAAGTGAACGGATAACTCCTTGCTGAGGAATTTCTACACAAGTGTCCAGGTGCTGAATTACATTTGCCGGGATTCCCTCGTGTTCATTTCTGTTTTTAAAAAGAAACAAAAAAATACATCAACAGAAATGGAACACTGCTCAATGGCAGAACACAGGCTTTACATGCAGAAAAAAAAATCAAGTTCAAATGCCAGCATTTCTAAAACCATATCTCCCTTGAATACTGAGAAATTGCTGATAACATTGAGCTAGAAACATCAATAACCAGATTTGTATATTTTCATTTCCACCCTCCTACTCCAAAATACTATTGGACTTTTTATTGGAGATCCAGGCCATGGACAAAACCTGAAATGTTTGCAGTTTCTACAGTAGACATTAAGAGATAAAAATCAGTAAATACTAACAACAAAGGCAGTCTTATGTACTTTAGTATGGATAGCAATTTCTATAGCAATTTGTGAACTATCACTGAGAATAATGTGATTTGGACTCAACTTATTTTTAAAGAATTTGTGTTAGGTACAATCAAGTATGCATCAAATATAAGTGGCCCAGTTTTATTCTCCTACATTTTATTTATACTGCAGAGATAGTAAAAAAAAAAAAAAATCTGTTCAGCTTTTCAATCTATCTACTATCGGTATGTGGCTGCCTAACAGATGAATCACTGGGGAATGTAGCTCTCTATGGGAAGGTTCTGCAGTGCATAGGCAAAACTTTATTTTCTGAATGGTTGTCAGTATTCTCTACCCAAAATACATTTGAAAAATGTATTAGAATTTAAAAAAATTGTTACCCCAACAACAGCAGGGATTTCTCTGGAAAGCAGTATTCCATTAAATTGCAACTTTTGGCTGTTTGCTCCACCCCTATTATAAAATAGCCTTCAGTTTTCTTCTGTTCCAAATATTCAATAAGCTGAAATGGCTTTACCTGTAAATTTTTGAAAAATATTAGCATTAGGCTTTGGAAGTGTGTATTTTTCATTAGTACACTAAGTTAGATATAGTAAGTTCTGACTGAATAGATCTATCCTGGCTAATACCATGTAGACAGAAACCTTTTCATTTTGATTGGACTGATCAAGATGCTGCCCTAGTTCAAGAATCGTAAACAAGTCTTCAATTTGGTGCCATTCATAGCATTTCACCAGTAAGCTAACTATGTTAGTTAATTGGGTGTCTGATTCAGAAGAGCCACCCACATAAAGCCCCAAAGTGAAGCTCGCTCTTTCCTCACTTGTCTGCTAGAATTGACTATATATGAAAAATCCACAATTATAATTCTCCCACTGAAATAGAAGAGAAATAATAATGCTAAAATTGGACTGTCCCTTTAAATTTTGCAGCTAATGTGTAACACCATAAAAGTAATGCAGATCAATTTATAGTGTCCAAATTTTGAATGCAACTACATGAAAATCAGGAGGAGATTGTATACCTATTAACTTGCATGTCTGACAGAACAAGGGAAGGTTTATTTTACTCACTTCAATAACAGAAAGCCACTGTTCAGCAGACACACTGAGATGCTGGAATTGCTTGTCATTTATATAATGGAGGTTGCTAACGGTTAAAGCAGAAACACCGAAGATTTCACACGTTCGACACAAGCCTACAAATAAAGCAGAGCTCTTTCAATATGGCATTGGTTTCCTCAGCTGAATAGTGCACAGAGGTACCGTGGAAGGAGATTCAAACATAAGACTACAAACATGCAGTGAGAATCATGCAGTGATGTGGTGCTTAAGACATCTGGCTAGAAACTGGGAGGCCATGAGTTCTAATCCTGCTTAGTCTGGGTGACCCTAAGCCAATCGTTCTTTCTCAGCCCTACAAAGAAGGCAGCAATGGCAAATCTTGCCAAAAGAACTGCAAAGTTTGTCCAGGCAGTTGCCAGGAATCAACAGTCTTGAAGGCACAATAAATAAATAAAGATAACAACTTTTAAACCTAACCTTTAAAATCAAAGATGCACTTTGTATAGGACAATTATTCCTTAAAATAGCCTAACATAGGTATTAACACAAGAAAATAAAAGACATTTCTCTTTTGTGTAAACAATTTGAGAGTTAAATTGTAAGAACCTACTTCCTCTTTTTAAATCCTCAAATTATTTTCTGGGCTAAACTATGTTTGTTACTTTATAAATATAAGGCATACAATGTAAAAACAAAAACAAAACCTACAAGTAGTTTAAAATGAGTAAGAGCTTACCTCCTAAATTGGTGGGTTTATCAATGAGCGAAGCAACTACAATCAATTTCTTGTTTGATTTTCCAAGCTTAGTGGCACGATCTTGAAATATAAGCTCCAGATCCAAATCAGGAGCACTGGCTTTGCAAGGGATAATTTTTTTTTGAACATTCACCCACTGCCTTTCGTTATTGGGCTCAGCTAAATTTAGTCCTGAGAGAAATTATGTAATTAGCTAATGAAATAATCTCTTTTAAGAATCTCAGCATTCTAGGACTTAAGTACTTAGGACAAATACAGTCTGTGTGCTCAGTAATTATGCTCTTAAATATCATAAATATATTTTAGAGTCTTTATAAAATATGTATAACTATTTGACCAGCACAAATTATTTCCTAATGCTGTTTAGCTTCTGATGATCACTATTATTATTACCGATATCTTGCTGAGTCCAGTCATTTGGCTTAAGATCAAGAAGTGTAGTTTGAGAATGGCAGGATGGAAATGTTGAACTCAATGGAATGTCTCTGAATGCCGTAAATTTAGAGAGAGAGATCCATTCCTCTTCAGGAGTTTCTGAAAGGCGTGGCAGCGTGTAAAATATTGTCTAAAAAAAAAATATTTTAAAATATCAACTTCCGCTTCAATGTAACATTTTTTAGCAAAAGCCAACCAATGATGCTTGTTTTACTTCCACATAGCTGTATATTCTATATCTATGGAAAGATCAGCTTCTGTCAAACTGATGATTAAATATGCTTGAATTCCAATTGATTTTAAAGGCAGGTAGGCATATTTAACCTTACGATGAACGTTTTAAAATAAGCAAATAATTACTTTTCACATTCCACAGCTCACATTACTGCATACACAGTACAGTATAATATAAACTTCACACAAGTACAGTACAATGCACATTGAACTTTGCTTGTTTAAATTGAGTTTCTAGCTCTTATGGCTGTAGAAGACAACTTGGAAAACATAAAATATCTGATGAATGCTCTAAAGTCAAGATAGAATCTTTCACGATTTTCAACATCTGGAAAGCAAGCTATGTCTAAATACAATATTCATTTACTTTGAGAATGGATACAAATGAACCCAGTGGGACTTATTTTTAAATAGGGATGGCTTAGGTGGCTTTTGCTTATTTTGCAAAATAAGCATATAGGTGGAACAAAGTTTTTTTGTTTTTATAAAAATAACACAAACCAGATTGATTTGAAGCAGCACACAGTGGCTTATTTAGTAAAAATGTGGCATCATATATGATAGATGTAAACATTTACTTTTCTACTAATAATTGCTGCAGAGTTTTTATACCAGATAATATAGTGTTTACTTTTAGATTTAAAAAAATCCTATCTGTGTCCTACCCTTTCTCCTAAATAGTTTACAAAAACTTAAACAGAATTATTCCCATTTTTTTGCTCATACCAACACTGTGAGATCAATTTAGTGTTTTTCAAACTTGGCACATTTAATGTGTGGATTCAAGAACTCCTCAACCAGTATGATGGGGATTCGAAATCCACACATATTAAGGTTGCCAAATTTGAAAAATTTGAGTAAATTTACAAAATGATTTTGATGAATTAGATAAAAATGTTTCATCTAATTTGAATATTTAATATGATTATTCATAAGGCAGCAAGGAATCCTACCAAATCTGTGCTTTATGACATTATGGGATTATTTAAAGCTG